TTTTTTTTTTTTTTTTTTTTGGGGGAAATTTTTTTTTTTTTTTTTTTTTGGGGAAAATTTCCCCCCTCTTTTTTTTTTTTTTTTTTTTTTTTTTTTTTGATAATTAAATTTATGATTACAATGGCATACATGGTTGGTTGGATGTTTTTTTTTCGGAAAGTTTTATCCAAAGCTATCAATTTTCACCAATATTTGATGATGATGATCGAATTGGGTGGAAATAGAATCGTTTTTTCCTCTCCCCCATTTTGTTTTTTTTCTGTTATTATTATGGTGATAGTCGAATCAATAGTAATAAATTATTACATTTTTCGATCCAGCCATGATGATGATTCATTTCATTTCATTTTTCTGAATTTTTTCATCTGGTCTGGTTAATATTCATTGCGAGAACCCAAGAATCCAAAAAACCTAAAAAACCCAAAATTTTTCATATTCATTCAAGAATGATGATGATCATTCAAAGACTGACTGAATGAATGATGAAACATTTGTCTGTATAGGTAATGTATGTGCTGTCCATATTTACGTTTGGTGATGGTTATGGTTATATAATGAACACCTTTTTTTTATTACTTTATTTTTGTTGTTGTTTTTGTTTTTGTTGTTGGCTGACCATTTTTTTTGAATCTAATTATTATTCTGAGAAATATTTTTGCTGTTGCTTTTTCGCTACATTTAATTTAATTAATTAGGTTTGCTTTTGCCTTTGTTTTCAAACAATTTGATTCGGTGTTTTTCTGCCTCCAAATCCACTATAAATGTTTGGTTATTGATTGATTGATTGATTGATTGATTTTCTTTCTTTATTTCGCTATAAGTTTAAAGAAACTTTTTTTTTTTTTTTTGTTGGAAAAGAATCATCACGATCATCATAATGAATATCATCTGCAATCGTAATGAACAACAAGAAAAAAATGAATTTGAAAAATTTCTAAAACTACTACAGCCATCTATCGTTGATGATTCAAAAGATGAGAAAATTATTAATGATAATTTTGCTAATGCGGATGAAATATCGATAATTTCAAATATTCAACCACCATCATTATCAGATAATGTAAATAATAATAATTTTCAATCAAAAACAATTGGTTTATTGAAAATAAATTTCGATGATTATGATGATCAATATAAAGCAATCGGACAATTACGTAAACATAATGAAACAATTGATTTAATTCTATCGACAATAGATGGCGGTAATGAATCGGTTCATCAATATTTTCTTGCATGGAGAGCGCCAAAATTTTGGCAACGTTTAATTGAAAAATCCGATAAGAATCAATCAATGATTAACATTGATAATAATGATGATGATGGACATGAAAGGGTTAAATTAACAGACGACGATAATAGAATTTCAATGGAATCTATTACAAATCAACCACGTCGTCGTCGTCGATTATTCGTACCAAAAGAATTTATTGATGAATCAATACTGTTACGATTAATGATTGATTCAATGTATCGTATGGAAAATTATAATAATGATCATCAATCATCATCAACAATTAATTATCAACAACAATTTAATTATTTTATAGCATGGAAATTATTGAAAATTGCTAATGAATTTCAATTAGAATTTCTTTTACGTGATTGTATCATATATTTTCATAGCCGTATTGGTTTATCAAATTGTATTGATTTATGGAAAGTTGGTCAGAAATTTTTTCAATATAATTTCGGTGAACAATTAGCAAAATGTTCATATCGTTTTTTATTGATTAATCTTATTCGGGTAAGTTTTTTTTTCTTTCCAAATGTTTTTCGCCCAATGATTTATTATATGAGCAGTGTGCGAAAAACAAACCAACCAAATACAAACAAGAAACAAATTTGTGTGTGCTATGCATGATGATGAATGATTCTCAGTTGAATTCCCATTTTCCTAAATGATGATGATGTTTTTGTTTGGAAAGAAAAAGAGTTCTTCCGTTCCCTACGGTTTTGAGAAATTTGAGAATCTTTCTGTGTGTTTACATAAACACAGAAACCAATCAAATTTGATTGCTGATGACATTCATTTGGTGTTTCATATTTCAATGATGTAAAATTTGCAACAAAAAAAAACCTTGAATAAAGACACATATTGTATTTCGTTTAAAGAAGTTTTTTTGAACATGGAGAAAAAATAATAATGTACATCAACAAGAGTAGAAATAGAGTGATTAAGAGATTAAGCCTGTGTTAAGCTGTTATGTTGTGTTTAGATTAATTTGATGCCAAGTAGAGTGAAGGAAGAGTAGAAATAGGGGGAAGAGCGAGAGGGAAAAAGGTAGAAATAGTTGGTTGAAAATTAATTACAATAATGATTTTCTCGAATAACAATGTTTCTTTTTTTTTTGTTAACCCCCACCACCACCACCACCACCACTAGCTTTTACATTCAAATCAATATTGTAATCAAATACAAACATTAACAATTGGACAATTACGTACAATAATCGATGATAATCGTTTAAATATACGAAATGAAATTGAAATATGGTTTTTAATTAAAAAATGGATTGAATTTGATCCATTGAATCGTTCAAATGAATTTCTATCATTATTTAGTCAAATACGTTTTAATTTAATTGATATGAAATCAATAAAAATCAAATTAATACCTGATCTTTTACAATTTGATTTTGATAAATGTCATGGGAATCTATGGAAAAATTTTCAAAATCAAAGTAAGTGTTTTGTGTGTGTGTTTAGAGATTTTGTGATCAATCACAAATCTTCAATCATCAATGTTTTTCTTCTTATTTTTTTTCTATAGAACCAAAAATCGATCTGGAAACATTTCGTCCACGCATACCACATCAATTATTATTACTGTATGGTGGTTATGAAGATGGTTATCCATCAACAACAATTAAAACATTTGATATTCGTTCCAGGCAATGGTTTCGTTTTTATTTTAATAAAAATGATCATTATCCACGTGTACATCATCAGTTGGTGGTATGTTTTTTGCATTGATAATCCTAACGATTTCCAAATTGAATTAATCGAATTCTATTTAATTTGATTTTTGGTTCCATAGAATTTAGAAAATAAAGTTTATATCCTGGGTGGATCAGATGGGTTAAATTGTTTGAATACAGTAATTTGTTGGAATTTAACGGATGGATCGAGAACAATAATGGCACCAATGCTTGAATCAAGATCATTTCATTGTGCATTACGTTATAGTCATCGTTTTATAATTGTTTGTGGTGGTTATAATGGACAAGATCGTTTACGTTCAGTTGAATTATATGATAGTCGTTTTAATTGTTGGCGTTATTTACCACCAATGCAATCAATTCGTTCGGATGCATCGGCAACAATATTTAATGATTGTATTTATATTGCTGGTGGTATTGATATATTTCCATTAAATTCAATGGAATATTATTCATTTGAAACAAATCAATGGACAATAATTAGTTTTATGCATATACAACGACGTAGTTTTTCATTAATACCATATAATGGTTTATTATATGCTATTGGTGGTTGTACGGAAATTTATGAATATAATTGGTAAGTGGGGTACACATTTCATTCATTCCACCACTGCAGCATGTTTACAGAAAATTTCTCATTTTAATTTGATTTTTTTTTTTTGTTTCCAAAAGCTTAAAATCCGTTGAAAGATATAATCCAATAACAAATACATGGTATTTTGCACCACCATTATTACAGCCACGTATGTCGGCTAGTGTTGCCATTCTAGAAGATCGTATATTTGTTATTGGTGGTTATGATGGTTTCACTACATATCGTACTGTATTTATTTATCATCATAGTCAATCATATTGGCAACAATTACAATATGAATTACCTGTACATTTATCCGGTTCAGTTGCATTAGTTATAACAAATATGATGATGTTAATGATTAATACTATTGATTATACTTATTATGGTCAATTTGGTCATCTGATTAACGATAAAAATCATTACAATAATAATGGTGATTATTTAAATGAAACGTTAATTGAAAAATTTTATAAAAATTTTCATAAATCTTATAATGATAATTATAATTTGGTGGATAATAATTGGAATATATTTAAAAAAATTTGGTATAGTTGTTTTTTCAATTCACATAATCATCATTATCACCATCAACAACATCATCATCATGATAATCATACTGATAATAATGGTGGTAACAGTAGTAATAATAATAATCATTTTAATAATCGTAAAAAATTTTTAAATTATCTTAAAAATGAATGGAAAAAATTTCAAAATGAACAGAAAAAACTACAACAACAACAACAAATACAACAACAACAATCGATTTTAACATAAGAAGAAGAAAATTACCGAATGTATGGATGGTGGTTGAGATAAACATCACGAATCAGCATCGAAAAAAATTTATTCCATGTTTTTTTTTCCCGAAAAAAAAGAACAAACAAATATTTAAAAAATAAACATTTTCTGTTATCTCGAACACTGGGGATTATTTCATTTTTCAATTTTTGTTGTTGTTGTTGTTGTCGAAATGATGAGAAAACCAAATTTGAAATGAAAAAATTCATATTTTTATACAAGTGAGAAAAAAAAATCATTCAACCGAAAAGAAGAAAGAAAATTCCATTATTTCCTTTCATATTTTTGGTGGTGGTAATGTGATAAGAATTTTTTTTCCATTTCTATTTTCTATTTTACCGAAAATTCAATTCACCAAAAAGAAATTTTTTTTTTTTTGAACAAATCATCATCATCATGGAGCAAAAAATTCATGATAATCTGTGTGCGTCCCGAGTGTGCTGAAGGAGAGATGTCCAACATGAATTTCCTATCGATATTTTTACATTTCTTGCTTGCTTGCTTGCTTCAAATGTGAATTGAATTATCAAACAACAACAGCAGCAACAACAATCATTACCATTACCATCATCATCACCATTACAATTAGAAAATAATAAGGAACAACAACAACAACAAAAAATTATTAAAACAATAAACGAAAAACAAACGAATAATAATAATAAATTACATTCAAATGGTTATAATAATCATCATCATCATCAAATCAATCATATCGATCAACAACAACAACAACAAAATTCATTAACGACAACAACAACAACAACAACGGTAACAACACCTGCCATAACAATTACGAAATTGACAAAAACCAAAACAACAGCAACAACAAAAAAACCAATAACCATAATACAAACATTTATAAAACCATTTGTGCCTAATAATAATCAAAATCAACATTTAAATTCAACAACAATAACAACAACAACAACAAAAACAGAGATTACATCGATTTGAAACAACCATCCAATTCATTACATACTGTGATATATAAAAAATTGTTTTTTCTTTTATAATTGATAATAACATGTAAATTCTTGAAACATGATACAGATCAAAAAAAAAATCAATCAATTTTGTTCAGTTTTCAATGTTATTTGTTTGAATTTCTTGTAAAATTTTCTGTACAAAATATATTTTGAATCAAAATAAAATTTTTCAATTATTTTTTTTTGTTTTTGAACATTAATGATGATGAAAAATTTGAATAAGAAAAAAAAAATTTTAAACTTGAATTTTTTTTTGAAATTGAAAACGAAGCAAAAAAATCACTATGGTTTTTTTTTTTTGATTAATTTGATGCTGTGTGTGAAAACAAGAAAAGAAAAGTTATTTAAACACACACATCACACATCATTTGAATTCATTTGAATTTCATTTTTATTTGAATGAATTTAACAGTTTGCCCAACAACAACATTATCATTATCATCATTATCAAGTATTTGAAATAAATTGCTTTTTGCATTCATTTATCGTCGTTTTTATATCGTTCATTCGTTTTTGGAAGAAAATCTCGCTTTATTTTCGCTTTATTCTCGTTTTTTTAATCATAATCATCATTAGAAGAACATCATTTTATGAAATTGTGAAATTCTTTCAACTGAAATTCTTTTTGAATGAATGAATGAATGAATGAAAAAAATCTGTGTGCTTGTAAAAAAAAACAACAGTACCATGATAATAATTTTGTAGTGATCATGATGTGATCATAATGAGAATGGAATGTTGTTAACCATATTTGTTCAATTAATAATTTCCATGTTTTTTTTCTCGTATTCGTTTTGTTTGCTGGTTTTATCGCTTTTCGTCATTTGTGATTTTTTCCGAGGAAGAAAGAAGAAGAAACAGAAGTTTTTACACAGCAATAAATCTTATTTCGTTTTTCGCTTTTCGTTTTCTGATATAATTAATTTCCATTAAGAAAATGTCTTTCAATATGAATACTCAACATCTGGAACAACAAATACGTCAAAAATTTTATGAAATATTACGTCATGTAATAAGTATGGATTTTGATTCAACAATTTTTACAATAATGAATCAAGAAAAATTATTAGAATATTTGGAACGTATAAAACGATTAAAAATTGATACGGATAAATTATGGGAATGGATTCGTTCAAATGATTTTCCATCATTAACATTACAACAATCATATACAATGCCATTGATACAATTAACAGCAAAAATTGAACGTATTTTTATTAATTTACAATTATATTCTGATCAAAAACAACGACAACAACAACAACAAAATCGATCTTTGATTCTTGATTCATCTGATCAGGTAAAAATCTTGATTGCTTGATTGATTGATTGATTTTTTCTCACTTTCTCTTTTTTTCCCACTAGTCAATCGTACAATTTCGTTCACAACCACCAATCGTACAACCTGGACGTAGTTTATTAAACGATTATGCAACAGCTGCAACATTATTAGATTTTGAACAGCCAATAATACCGTTGATTATTGAAGAAGAACGTAATGGAATCGTTACAACGACAACAACAACAACATCAATGGATGGAAATTCAAAAAAAGTTGTCGTTACTACTAAAAATGTTGGCAAGAAAAATTCATCAAAACAACAACAACAACAACAGGAGGAGGCAGAAACATCATTATCAAACAGTACTTATTATTCAACCAATTCGGAATTTAATAATGCTGATTTTGAAGATGATGATAGTAGCAGTGACGATAGCAGCAACGATAGCGATGATGATGATGAAAATTTTACCGGTGTTTCATCGTGTTCAACACCATATTTTCATCGTCGTATTGATGAAAAATCACGTGATTGTGAAGAAGATGATGAAGAAGAGGATGATGATGATGATGATGATGATTCAAGTGATCCAGAAACATTAAACATATGTGATTTAAGTTCATTCAATGATTCATATCAAACATTTTCAACGGTTACAATCGATGAAGTTGATAATCAAAATCACGATGTAGCAAACGAAAATGATACATTTACCGGTGATAATCCTGAGAATGGTGATAATTCAGCAACAACAATTTTAAACAAAGAAGTTGAACAAGGAGAAAAGATTTTACAATCCGATTCAGGTATCCAAAATATTGATGGCACACAATCAACGCGAGCAGGTTCGGAAACAGGTAAATGGAAACCGTAAATCGAAAAATAATGTTAATGTTTTTCTCTTTCTCTTTTTTCCCCATTCAAATTCCATTAGAGCAAAAAAACAAAATATTATGTAATTCAAGCCAAAATGTTAAAAATGATGATAATGGCAGTGGTGATCATATTTCAACCTTGAATATTGTTCATGAAAATTTGACAAATGAACAACAACAACAATCAAATGAACAAGCGAACTGCAGTGGAGATGTTAATGGAAATGAAAATGAAAATGAAAATGAAAAAGTCAATAAACAACAACAACAACAAAAAGATGATAAATTAATCCAATTGATACAATTAATATTGGAGAATTTAATGGAAAAAGAAAAATTAAATGAATTGATTGCACAATGTTTAATCAATCATCCGGATAATGATGGATTATTATTATCATTTCAATTGAATACAATCAATGGTTTAAAACGTTTTGTACATTATTTATTGGATCAAATGTTGGTGAATTGTTGTCGTTGTTGTTGTTTGGACGTTTTTTCATCATCGCAGCAGCAACAATCGCAACAATCACAGCAGCAACAATCGCAACAACAGCAAACATCGTCCAAAGCAACAAATGAAACAAACTTGATAAAAATGTATGCAAAATTCATTTCATATTTTAATTCCTATGTGCGAACATTGAATTTATGGATGGCCGAAAATTTTCAATCATTATTATTAGCCGAAATGAAATGTTATTACCGGCAGGAATTGTATGATTATGATGATCATAATGGATGTTTTATTGAATCAAATAACGACGATAACAATAACAACAACGTTGGCAATGAACATCAACAAACACCAAAGAAATTTGTTCAAAATAATCAATTTGCAAAATTATTTCTACGAAATTCAAATCCAACGGAAAGATCAGTGTTGAAAAAACGTTATCTAATCAATTTGAATTTGATTGCAGAATTATATCATATTCAATATTTACCCATTGATTATTTGGTTGAATGTTTGAATCATATTTGTGAACGTAATGAACAAATTCAACAAAAACATTTAAAAAATTTAGATTATTTACGTTTGGTACGATTATTTATTGAAAATATTCGTCCAAATATTGATCAATTATCAAATGAATCATTACAACAGGCTAAATATTATCGTTTGATTTGTAAACGTTTGGATAAAATATTAAAATATCAAACAACAATGATGATGGCTGCTGCTGCTGCTGCTGTCGATGATCATGAAGATGACAATATCGTCGATTACAAAGGATCAATATCGATGATGAATAATCAATCGTCATCGACGACGGCAAAATCGCAAACATTTGCAATGAAAATATCAAAGTTATTGGATTCGATCAATAACAACAACAGTAACAATAATGATCAGGTCATTGAACGTCGTCATTATTCGTTTTGAAAGTGATGATGATGATCACATTTCAAATTATTCAATTTTTAAAGAAAAAAAATTCAACATATTTCATCATCATCAAATCAATCTACATTGATGAATCAATCAATCAAATCAAATCAATCGATATTTGGCTGTCAATAAATTGATTAAAAACTTTTTTTGAATGAATGGATTTTAATGATGGATTATGGAACAATCAACAACACCAAAAAAAGAAACAAGTAATCCTCTCTCTCTCTCTCTCTCTCTCTCTCACCGATGGATAATCCCAATCAAGTGTTTTATTCTTTATTTAAACTTTTTTATTTCGTTTTGTTATTGGGGAACACTATCATTATTGATTGATTGATTGATTTGAAAAATCTTTGGCCATTTTTTGGGGATCCAAATCGGCTTCAACAACAGTCAATTATCATCTGTGGCTCTCTTTTCTAGGCTGTTTCATATGTTTATTTATTTATCATCAACAAGAAAATCATTCAATTCATGGCCAAGTGTTGTTTGATGTTCAAAAAATAATGATTATCAAAAGTCAAACTTTGATGGTTTGACAAATTTGATTTTGATGATGTTTTTTTAGAAAATTTCATTGTTCAAAAAAAATGTTTTTTTTCCAATAAATATTTTATTATCGTTGCCAGATCCGTGGTCATCATATCATGTCCGTGGTGGTCAACTAATTATGTCCCTTTTTTTGTAGTCGATATTTCCCGTGAAATTTTTTTTTTTAATTTTGATTTTTTTAAATAAAATTTTTTCCCTTCAAACACCTGTTTGTTTGTTTGTTTGTTCCAAGGGATATTTAAGGGATATTTTTGTTCGTTGTTCGCTTGTGTTAAAAATATTTTTGACGGTCAACGAAATTCAAATGAAAAAAATCGAATCAATCATCGTCATGTGGTAAGTGATGTGTGTGTGTGTGATCAGTATGTGTGAGAAAAAACACAAAAAGAGTCAAACAGTGATTGAAAAAAGTTTCAAATGGATTTTTGATTTAGATTTTCACGTTCACCACATACACGCACACACACGTTTTTTTAAAAAAAATTTAAATTGTCCATTTTAAACGTGTTCGGTGATCGTAATCATAATCCACATAATAATCATAATCCCAAAGAAGAAGAAAAAAATTCAGCGCAGTAACTTTTTCGAATGAATTTAGATCAAATGTATCGATTGTTGTTGTTGCTGTTATTGTGATTGATTTTTGATCGATTCTATGTGATGATCAATAGTGAAAAAAAATGAAAATGGAATCATCATCATTGTTGTTGATTGAAAATCGTTGTTGTTTATATAAATTATTTGCTGTAATTTTGTTGATATTATCACCATTAATAATGTTGAGTATTGATGGTCAATTAAGGCCACCACCACCAACCTCTACGACGACAACAAAGCGACCTACATTTTTACCCATACCATCATCGTTTGTGATAAAACGTTCACCAACAAATTTTCCAACAACATTTGGAAATTTACGTGGACGTGGTCCAGCATTTCTATTATCACCATCACAATCATTATCACCAATATCATCTCGTTTTATGGAAATTATTGAACGTTTTGTGACAGCCTCATCCATGGCGATACAATCGACCACGACTACCACCACCACACCAAAACCCCTTCCACCGCAAATACCGGCAAAATTGATTTTACCACCTCCATCATTATCATTACCAACAACAACAACAGAAAAATTACCAACAATCAATACAATTGATTCAAATGATCGTATGTGTAAACAATCCGATATGGATATTTGTAGTCAACGTATGTTAATGATAACTGATCAAAATTTTCATTATCCAATTACAATGGCCGAAATGGATCAACGTTGTAGGTAAGGATGTTAATTGATTGATTGATTGATTCCATTTAACATTGTTTTTCCTCTATAAGAGAATTAAAACCAATGGAAAAATGTGTACGTCATTATTCACAACATTGTTTTGAATCAAACATACAGCAGAAAACATTTTCCCTAATAATTTATGGTGTAACCAAAACAAATCGTGCTATTTGTCGAAATAATCGTCGTCGACGGCAATTTATTGAATTTGGTCAACATTGTGCAAATCGTTTACAAAATCAATTAATTTCATTTGTTGAAGATATGTATACGAAAATGTTTGCTATATTAAAATATCCGATAAGAAAATTACGTATACCATTAAGCTGTTGGTAAGTTTTTGGTCATTTTTATCATTCTAATCAAATTAATTTCCCATTTTCAACAGTAATTATTATAGATTTAAAGAACAAGCATTAAAAATGTATTCGGAACAATGTCAACCACAACAATCACAACAAATGGAACGTTTATTAAATGGTTTTACAAAAGATTCATTTACATTTATTTGTAGCCGTTATACGGAAAATTCTGAACGTTGTAATAGAATTATTGATAAATTTATATCGATAAATAATATGACAACATTATTACCAATCACCAATAATAATAATAATAATAATAATAAAAATGCAGCATTAAAATTAACAAAATTATCAACCGAATCATTTATAACAACATATATTAATATGATTCATAGTATTGGATCTTGAGAATGTTTGAAAATAAAATGTGCTTGAAAATGAAATGAAAATAAAATGTTTTTACTACAAAAAAAACCTTGTTACTTCAATCATTCAATCAATCAATCATCCTGGATCAATTTGACATTTCAATCGATTGATTTTCAATTTGATTTGAACATTGTTGCTGTTGTTGTTGATCTTGATCTTGATCTTGATTATCACCATCACCATCATCATCATCTTCATTAATATCCATTTCGAATGTTGTTATACGATAACCATTTGTATCACAACAACATGCTAAATTACGATTACCACTTACTGATAATGATTTTTGTTGATAATTTTTATTATTATTAATCATCATCATTACATTATCATTTAATAATCTTAGCTTAAAAAATGAATCAATTGTTGTTTCGGATGTTTCATCGCCATCACCATTATCATCAGTAGAATTAATCACAAAATCAGTGCCATCGATTTGAATAGATTGTTGTTGCTGTTGTTTATGTGGTTCATCAATCCAAATACGATCCATAATCGAACCCAAATCAATTTTCCATGAATGATTTTTAATTGTTTTACGCGTTTCATTGTTGTTATTGTTGTTGATTTTTTCAATACAATCACCGAATGAATCAAACATTTTTGAATATCTACATTGTAATAGATATTGTTTTCGATTATTGATTCGTTCATCACTATTATCAATCGATTGTAGTTGTTGTTGTTGATGACATTCAGTAATAATCATTGTCGCCCAATCCGAATTATAAAATTGACAATCTTCAATATGGAATTGAATTTTTTTCCTTTCACAATTACAATCTTCTTTTTGATAACAATTTCCAATTAGATTAAATTGTAATAAATCAAAATGATTATCACGATGAATTGGTTGATGAAAACGAAATATCGATATTGTCGATGCATTATTAGCTTCATTCATCGAATCATTAAATTTACATACATAAAGATATCCATCAAATTGTTGTTGTTGTTTTTGATCATTATTCAAACTTGTATGATGATGAAAATTTAAAACATTATGGCAATCTAATGATGTTGGCTGAATTTCATACAATTCTTCAGTGAAATTAGGACAATGAAAATCAAACATCATTTTATCATTAGATTTTTCAATAAATTTTGATTGTAATTTACTCATTCGATCGAATGAATCATTGAATAATTTTTGTTTAATTTGATTTAAACGTTCAAAATGATTTAAAAGTGACCAATTTTTCGGAATATTTTCCGAAAATAAATCAATATTACTCGTATCATTTATTAACATTTCAAACCATTTTTTTGTTTCCAAATCATCCGAAGGTAGATTATCAGTAAATTTCATTAAATCATTTGTGGGTAATATTCCGGAAAATAATTGTAATAAATCATCAAAGGACATTTCTTCAAAATTTTTTTCTCGATTAAGAATTTGAAGAAAATTTTTCAAATGTTTTTCCTCCAAATATGATTTATATGGATTTCGAATGTTTTCATCGACAATATTTTTAGATTTTTGATCATTTTCTTCGATTATTTTCGTCGACGATGATGATTCTTGATTTGAAGAATCAAGAATCGATTCAATTTGATGAAATTCAAATCCATTTTCGAATGAATTATCATTAAAAAAATCCATAATTAAATGAAAATCTTGTAATGTCATACGGCCAATATCCAACAGATGATCATCACAATATTTTGAATATTCAAATTCATTTTGTTGTTCCATTGAATATTGTGACATAAATATACCTTTATAAATTAATCTTGTTATAGCCAATATTTTACATTTTAAATTATCTAATGTTGTCATTAATTGATTACATTTATCCATCATCCATAATATTTCACGACGAAATTCATTAACATTATCAATGGAAATGCCCAGATCACCGAATAGAAAATCATTCAATGCCATACCTTTTATAGTGAAAAAAAAATTCAACAATTTTAAAATCAAAACAAAATCAACTCAAAACAAACTAACCTCGAAGATTATCCAAATACGACAGTATCTGTGTTAATGTATTCAATAAATTAGTTATAATCAAACGATAAATATCATCCAAACATTGTTCAAATGAATGATATAATTTCGAAGTTTCTTTTCGATTTAAATCATTTAAAAAACGTTCTAAATTTAAACTTATATTACCAAATATTAACATATCGATAAAATCTTTTAATTTTAATTCGATTCGATTCGTTTCGTCTGTTAATGATGATGGCGATGGTTCAGCAGAATTTTCAAACACCAATTGATAATTTGATAAACGTGATTTTATATCAGCTATAACGTCGGACCAAATTGAACAAATTTCATTAATTTTATCCCGAAGATTATCCATACGCAGATCAATATTCAAACGGATACGATTAACAAGGAAAATTTCTTTCCATAAATTTCCTAATAATTTTGTTTCAAATAACATTAGTTGTGATTGGCATTTTCCGTCACCACCATTATCTTGATTATCTTGATGGTCATTTTTAAAATAAACTTGAATTGAATTCAAATCCGGTGATATCCAAATACGATTTAATCGTTGATTATCATTTTGAATCTTAAATTGTTTAAGATCAATATTTAAAATTTGATAATAACCAAACAGATAGAAAAGTATTGAATTTTGTTCAGTTCCAACAGTGAGAATATTGATTGATTTATTTTGCAACAGATTCATTCGATCATATGATACAAATTCATCTTGACGATTTAGCCGTGTCAATGGTGGTAGATTTGAACTAAATTTTTTATTTCGATTTGTTTCACTTTGGTATGTACCACCACCAGTAGATTTTACCGAACTTTTACCCGATGTAGTTACATTGAATGGATAATTTAATAGTTCTTCATCACAAATACAAAGATCAACATAAGGTATATTTATCGAATCTAATGGTAATTTAATATCATCAATATTAATTGCTTTCATTGTTGTTGATGATTCCGAATCCGGACAATAACTTTTTACTTGCCAACAAAGACAATTAATTTGATATTCCAAATTATGAACACAAACACGTTGATTTGATTCAATCAAATATAAAACAATCGATGAAACATATTCAGGTTTTGTTGCGGTTTGAGAATCTAAATCAGAATTCTTTTTCGAACGATTTTCACAATCAATCGGTCGATTATAAGCAACGGCAAGAATTTTTCCATCAATCGACCATACCATATCGATAATCTAAAACATTTTCAATGAATTAAATAAATGAATGACATAATGATAATGAAATGACAAACCTTAATAATTTCACCACTATCATTTGAAGGAATTTTCGGTTTTGAAATTGACCAAACACGTTGCCATGAAAACAAACGATTTATAGCTATATCCGAATTGGATAAAGCCAGTGCAACAATATCCATTGATGGATTAATTCGTATATGATTAACTTCATGTGGAAGTAAACGTTCACCAACTTTACGAAAATTTGTCATTTTTTTTTCTTCGGATGATAATTTTTTGATTACAAAAAAACTCAAAAACCGCTAAAATGAAAAAATTTTACAAAACAGACCAATGCTACCCACATGGGCTTATTCAGTCAAAATAGCTCAAATGTGACTGTGCATATTTTTTTTTCTCTGTTGTCTGACAAGCTCAATTCGTTCGATTCGATTGAAAGTTTGAAATCAAAATTTTTTAACAAAACTTTTTTCAAGAATTAGAAAATATGTCACGAGGAAGTTCGGCCGGTTTTGATCGTCATATTACAATCTTTTCACCCGAAGGACGTTTATATCAAGTTGGTAAGTTTGATTGATTGATTATTTAAGTAACAAACTAAATTATGAATTTTACAAACAAAAACAGAATATGCATTCAAAGCTATCAATCAGAATGCAATTACATCGATCGGTTTAAAGGGTAAAAATTGTTCAGTTGTTGTTACACAACGTAAAGTACCGGATAAACTTTTGGAACCAAAAACTATTTGTAATATTTTTCATTTAACACCAAATATTGGTTGTGTTGCAACTGGTATGCAAGCTGATTGTGCATCATTAGTACAACGTGCACGTTATGAAGCAGCAAATTTTAAATATAAATATGGACTTGATATTTCGGTTGAAGCATTAACAAGAAGATTAGCCGATTTAGCACAGGTTTATACACAAAATGCTGAAATGCGACCACTTGGTGTTAGTCTAATTCTAATATCATATGAAGATGGTCAACCATTAGTTTATAAAACTGATCCGGCCGGTTATTATTCTGGTTATCGTGGTTGTGCTGTTGGTGTAAAAGCTATTGAAGCACAAAATTTTCTCGAGAAAAAACTTAAAAAACGAATGGAAATGGATAAAAATGAAACAATTCAAATGGCCATTTCAGCATTGTTTACCGTATTGAATGTTGAATTCAAACCAAATGAATTACAGATTGGTGTTGCTGAAGAAGGTAAAAAATTTCAAATCCTAAACGAATCAGAAATTGAAAAACATTTAGCAATGTTGGCCGAAAAAGATTAATATTTATCAAAATTCATTGATTAATTAATTGAACACCTGATTTGAATTTTGTTTGAAAAAAATATTTCCAAAAATTAAAAAAATATTTTTTAAAAGAAAACTTTTCCCATTTCATTTTGAACTTGAATTTTTTCATTTTTCTGATTTTTCCTCATTTTGTCTTCGATCAATCGATGACTTTCATTCATTCATTCATTCATCTTGATCGCAATGATGATGGCTCCTTATTTGGCCATTTTATTCATCGGTTTTTCTTTTGTTTCATCGATGTTATCATCAACGATGACCACGACGATGATAATAAACAATGAAATAAACAGCGAATCTTCGAAACGAATTGTTGGCGGTGAACGTGCGCGAATCGAACAAATTCCATGGCAAGCATTAATACAACAACGAATATCATCGTTCGAAAATGATTCTTCAACGATTATACAATGTGGTGCTGTTATAATCGATCCATTATGGATATTATCAGCTGGTCATTGTATCCATCGGCCACGACAAGGAGAATCATATCCGATCGATGTTTATTTTGGTGTAACGGAAATTACGCCCGATATTCGACAATGTTTGTATTTTCGACAATGATGTTTATGTTTGTAATTCGAATGTTTTTTTTTCTTTGCAACAAAAATATCTAGCCAATGTTGTTCGATCGGTTATACGAATATTTGATCCGGCAAAATCGGATCAAAGATTATCCGGTGATTTGATTTTATTACAATTAAATCAATCAATTACAATTAGCTCAAAAATACAACCAATTCGTCTGCCTGAAATGGATGATAATTTTGATTATCAAATCGGCGTAGCTTCGGGTTATGGTGCAACATTTTTTCAAGGTAATCTTTTTGTTTCTTCAATGAATAAATCACCCAAATGATGATACCGAAAAATAGATCCAAAAACAATAAAACCGATAAATATTTTGCACTCGGTATCGGTACCAATTTTGCCAAAATCATCATGTTTGGAATTGTATCGAAAAGCATTCAAAGATGGAGCTACCATTGCTGAAGATTTAATTCAGAAAAATAAATTAATTTGTGCCGGTTATCGGCAAGGTGGATCAGATGCTTGTATAGGTGATTCTGGTGGTCCGTTAGCTGTTTGTGTTGATGATTTTTGGTCATCTTGGCGACGACGAAGAAGATCGAATTCGATGACCAGATCATCATCATCATCAAATTATCTTGATAAACAATGTAATGGTCAATGGAAATTAGCGGGTATTATTTCCATCGGGTATCGTTGTGCTGAACCACAATTACCCGGTTTGTATATCGATTTAACTGTTTATTCGAAATGGATACAATCGATTATTATGAATAATCGATTAATCGATTTAAAAATTAATTAATCGTTCATCTCCTCTTTTATTATTATTATTATTTCGTTTTGTTTTTAATTTTGAATTTTTAAAAATATGAATTTTATTTTGATGTTTAAGCAAAAAACTTTTTAAAATTGCAATAAAATAATCCACACTAAATCATCAACATTGGTCACATAGGAAACATTTTCATCATCATCCACTTGACACTTTTTCATTTCATTTCATTCTTGATTTATCACATGAAATGAAAATTTTGCCAAAATTAAACTTGAACGATAACAATGATGTTGTGTGTTGAAATTCATTTCGAAAATCCCAAAAGTGTTTTACAAGAAAAAAAATCGATTTTGTTGTTGTTGTTATTGGACAACAGCCATTTTTTTGTTCGTATATGGTCGGATGAGCAGAACCAGAAAAAACAGAATTACAGAAAGAAAAAAATGTTGAAAATCGATTCGCCAAGTGTTTTGTTTTTGTCAAGGATCCCGAAATGTAATGGCGCCCAAATGTTTGAAATTGTCGTTTATTTTTTTCGATAAAAAAAACAACAACATCAGCATCGAATAGTGACAATTTGTAAAAGATTTGTTTTCATTTTCGATTTTGTTGAACTGGAAAAAAAAACATAAACATTGACATCGATGATTTGAAATCGATCGTCAAACATTTTGAAAAATGAAAATTTCTCAAAATGAAAAACGATGATGATCTGGCCGGTTGATCACTTAAGTGTTGCCCTCTTCTATTCGTTTTATTTTACGATGACGATTAAATTCACGATAAATGTTTATTGTGTTTAAATAACGACAAAAACATTTTCACTTTTAAATTGCCAGAAAAACAGAACAGAGAAATGATCATTTTAATCGAATACAATTCCCGATTGGCCCGAACCCGAAGGCAATGTTTTTGGCTTGGAAATGATGGTCGTTTTCGGCTCGAAATTGATGATGATGATGATGATGATGATCGGATTTCAGCAAAATTTTAATCATCAACTTGGGATTCATCATGACGACAAAATCAAATTTTTTTCCAACAAAAAAAACGAAAATTAGAAAAAAACAACAAAAAAACAGGAAATTCATTCGATTCGAATGTTTTCACGGGTGTAACGTATTTGATGGAAAGTTCCAGCAAAAAAAAAATTGCTCATTTCGTTCGAATTTTTTGTTGTTGTTTTCGTCGATTTCGTAAATTTTCAACAACAAAATTATGAATTAATTATGACATTCAATCAATCATTTTTGATCATCCGGTAATAATCATCAACAATCCATTGATGATGATACGATGTCATCATGTTTTTGAACTAATTATTCATCTTTTTCTTTGTTTTTTTCCGAAAGAAATACAGAAGCAGCTGTTGTCGGTCGATCGGAGAAAGAAATGAAATGAAATGAAATGATCAATGGAACATAAAGCAATGAAGATCAAATGTCAATGGTGTCTTTATGTCACCAATTTAAGTCATTTATGGAATATATCGTTTAATTTATCATCATCATATTGGCGTGTCATGTCATAAAATGGATCATTTAGTTTTGTTTTGTTTTGAAACGAATCTGATCATATTTTTTTTTTCGTTTATAGTTTTGATGTGGGGATTTCATTTTTACCACCACCGCCATCACCATTATCATCATCATTATTGTTTTCATTCATGGTTTTTTGATGATGATTTTGACTCTCGAACAACCATAAACAACAAAATTATGGATTTTCGGGATGGATATATTTGGTCTCTAATTGGCAATTTGAGTATTTATGTTTTTTGTTGTAAATACATCACCACCGCCACCAAAAACTACATTATTATTATTATTATTATACCCAAAAGTGTTTGATTTGATGTACGAATTTGGTTACAATTTCGGCCTTTACTTTGTTTCGTTTTTTGATGGTCATATCAAATTACCGTTATTGATAATAATAACAATAACGACGACAATCGACAAGCAAGCAATGAAAATAAACTTGACATGTTTAACACATTGGAACTTGACGAAACAAAGTAAAAAAACCCGCAAAAATGATTTTCTGTATTCGGATCAAGATTTTCCTTTTTTTTGTTGTTGTTGTTCAAATCGAAAATGAACATTCGAACAACAATCAATCAATGACAATCAAAATCATGATGGTCAGATATTGATGATCATAAAATAAATTTTTTGTGAAGAAAATCATCATCATTGACGAATTTGAATTTTGCACATTTCAAATTCTCATTTCGTCGATAATAAGGTGGTGTGTAATAAAACGATAAAACGAAAATCAACGACAATCATGATGATCAAACATTTGGTTTTTGGATGAAATAGAAAAAATCGGCTGTAAATCAGATTTTGAATCAAAAAGTTCAAAGATGTGTGATTTTTTGTTGTTGCTTAAATCATCAAATCTTGGCAATTTTCTTCTTCTGACTGATTCAATTAAGCTTTGAATTTTTCTTTTCTTATTCACCTGTCTCCTTGATTTCAAAATACCTGTTTACAATCCAGAAAATCTCTTTGTGTATATGGTGAACAACTGAAACAACAACAAGGATAATAAATTTTTGTTTGTTTTAATGATGCAACAATACGAACCTCGAACTACGAACAGAAAATTAATTGCTTTCAAACATACACTGAGATACGAGTATCAACAACATCAATTTCAATCAAAAAAATGATCACCATTGTTGTTTTTTGATTAATCGGTCAAAATCATTTTTGTCGAATGGAATGGATGATGATAAAAGATGTTTCTTCTCGATGTTGTCAACATCATATATTTGATATTATATAAATAGAATGCCATAACCAAACAAAACGAAATGATAATCGGATTCCATCATCAACAACAGCAAACAAATGGATATGATCCCTATTGATTTCGTGTGGAAATAGCAACCGAAACGAAACATTATTTTGAAATTTTTTTTTCATACACGATAATACGATAATGGAATATAATAAGATCAGTATCAAACCAAACAAACAAAAAGATATATTTTCCATTTGATCTTATTTCATCATCATCGTTGCTGTTTTGGTTGTTGGTGATGACAAATGTTTTAATGTTGTTTTTTTGGAATGAAATTTTTCAATTTAAATTAGTTGTCAGTGTTTTATGTGTCAACCAATCAATCGACCAAACTGACCAGTTTGACCAAACGACTGACCAATGATACAAGATTTACAAGAAATAATATAACACCTTTTGACTTTAAGTTAACATTTTTTTTCTTTCTTTCTTTTTCAACTTTATTTACATAGCTAACAAGTTTTTTAATTCAATTATGGTGGATCATCACTTTACCATCATCATCATCATCAGTATCAGTTTATTCAGATGTTACCTATGTGTGTCTATGCTTATTACCTGTGTGCATATAGGTGAAAAAATGTTTATGATTTTTTCGAAAATTTAAACAACAGGTAATATACAGAGAGAGAGATGAATGAATTTACCTATAATCATCATCATCATCATTTTGAAAATTTTATTGATTTTTCCCTCTTTGCATTTTTATTATGGATGTTTATTGTTTTCTTCAATTCAATTTATGATTTTTATAACTTTTTCTTTTTCATCACTAAAACTAACTTGAATCAATTTTTTTTTTCTGTTTTCCGCGTTAACAAGCTGAGATGATCAGTGATGATGATGATGATGATCAGGTAATCATCATCAAGGTATGCAATCACCTCATTTACCTTTTCAATTCTCTCTCTTCAGCCACACCTTTTTTCAAAGGTCGTTTAAAGTTTTTATCACCATCATCATCATCTTCGACGACCAATCTTCAATTTGATTTGATTTGATTGATTCGATGATATTTGATGTGGCTAATCTTTCTTTTTTTTGGAGCGGTCTTTCTCTCTATCTTCACTTTTCTCCATTTATTTTATCTATCAATTTGGTCACCTGGATGCAATTTTTATGAGTGTTTTTGAAGACTGAAAACACAGTAAACTGAATTAAGTAAAATCAACAATAATAAACAAGTGTCAAAGATTGTTTTTTGATACCTTTTTGACTCTTATCGACAGTTGTTGTTGAATTTAAATATTCATTGAATTTAAGCATCATCATTTAGCTTAAATATCATTTCGAATGATTTTCGAATTGAACTTTTTGATTTTTTTTTTCGTTTGTTTCGATTTTTATTAGGATTTTCATCAGCGCCATTTAAAAGATCTTTCTCTCTTCTTCTTGGAGAATAGAAAAAATCAATCAAGTTTTCTTGCTTTGTTGTTGACTGATCTGATGACGATAAAATAATGGAACAAGCGATAAAGCAACCGAAAGAAAATTTCAGAAAAGAATTTTCTTTTCTTTTCTTCTCCGTAAAGGCAAGCCAAATAAAGACATTAAAAAACTAAAGAAAGAAGAAAAAAATAGACATTAAACGAAAAATCCAAAGAAAAAAAAACAGTTTTCCAGCAATGAACAACATTTTACCTTGGCAAATCGTTAAGCATCGTTGTTTGAAATTGAGCGAAAAATCCATCAATCCAATTGCGAATTAAAATGTTTTTTTTTTAAGAAAAAATCTCTCTTTGGTTTGATTGTGAATTTTATCACCAGTTTTTTTTTCATTTAAATCCACAGTTGTTGTTTGGTGAAGAAATTGATAATCGTTGTCCATCTGTCCATTTCTTGTTGTTGTTGTTGATTCGTAATAAAATTATTCTTTTTTTTTGACAACAACAACAACAACAAAAGGTCTTTAAATCTAACCTTTGACACAGGCGACGAAGAAGAATTTTTCGAAAAATCAGAAGAAAAAAAAAACGACAAAATTGTCGTTTTTCGGGTGATTTTTTCAATCAATAATTTTTTCTTGTAATGAATTTGATAATAAAAAAAACATGAAAACTTTATTGAATTTATGTTTTTTTTTTATTCGATAATAATAATAACGATCATCATCATCATTATCATCACCGTCGTTTGACTTTTGGTTTTTCGATTTTTTTTTTGGTTTTGTTGTAAATTGTCAAATGATGATGATGATAATGTCTTTATTATTGGCAATAAACAAAAAAAAAAAATGGGAATAATGTTTGTTTTGGAAAATCAGT